GGTGGGAGCAGAAAGTGGAGACGAAAGCAGACGACAGAACATTGCTAGAGAGCAGGAAAGGAGGTGAAAGGAGACACTTTTAGAGAAGAAAATGTTTAGGTCGCTACCCGGGTTTGAACCCGGGACCATTGAATAAGAGGCGAACACCTTAACCTCTAGGCCAAGAGAGGCCCATTTAACTCTTTAAGGACAAAATGGACACATGTGTCTGTCTAGCAGCTGACCATAAGTAACATTACAACACATCTCGGATCACCATCATCATCCAGTGCGACAGACATCGGCTTTCATGGTTCTCCATTTCCCTGTTCTTTCCCTGTTACCAAGGACTACTATACTCAGTATAGTAGTCCTTGCCTGTTACCCATTTGTTTAGGTTCCCTAAGTATGTTGTTCTGGGCTTAGCCGTGCCTCGTCTGCCTTCAATTTTGCCAGTGAGAGCTAGATGTTCAAGACCCTCATGTCTATTCAGGTGTCCCTAAAAATGCGCTTGTCGTTTCCTGATTGTTTTTAACATTTAGCGTTCCACTTGGGTTTCATCAAGCACTACCTCATTTGATTTCTTTTCTTTCCTTTCTCGAACCACCGTGTAAAAATGAGAAACACGAATTTGAGTTTTATTTTTTCTTAACATGCATATTGTTGCTTACCATTTTCAGGTTTGATATTAAGAAAATAGAACTGATGATCAGCATAAAGAACGTACTGTAGTTGTGGTGCTCGAAAACAGCGGGCGTTCAAATTTTGTCGAATGACCAGATTGTGCGTTGTCTTCAATGAGTTAAATGAATTACCGCACGCATTTCTAGAACCAAATCGCAGGTCTGAAGATTGACGTACATTTTCTTACTACTTACTTTTACTATTTCATCCTCTTTAGCCGTTAAGTGTCGAGGGATATGCAATTTTCTGTACTGGTAGGCCAGCTCCCTAGCTCTTTCAATTGGGATATTATGATGTACATTTTCTTACTTCACAATCTCATTCATCTGCATATTTTATCTTGTCGTTTCTGCTCTGTCATTCCGGTGTCGGATGGCCGGTGTGATGACTTGGCCACATGTACTCTGCAATGCGATCATGCGAGAAGTTTCACATTACAAAGCCCCCGTGGGGTCAACTTTTATGCCTGGGACGTGAAGAGAAGCACTGACCCCTCGTCCCGGTTCTTGATAATCCCTGCTTTAATTGTTCTGGTGGCCATCATGTATCAGCTACCGTTCGTTTATTTCCAGCACCCCCCCCCCCCCCCAAAGTCTCCTCTCACTGTGTAGAGGGCCGAAAGATGGACAATGACTTTAATTATCACTAATCCCAAAGAGACAGGCTAAACGCCAAAAACAAATTCATCTTCATCTTTTTAGGTACGTGCCATGTTCCTTTCGGCAAGACAGGAGCA